AAAGAATGAACATTTCGAACTTATTTAACTGACCACCCATTACGATACGCTGACAGGATGAATATATTAGAGGGTGGCAGAGCAGCTCGCGAAGTAGTCGTTGTTCAAAACAAACTTATAGGGATATTCCGCTGGTAGAGCGCGCAATTAAATAGTGATGAGACAATTACTGTGTTTGACTGTTACTTTTTGCAAATTACATGGACTTGGTAGTACTTCTGCACAGCTGCGGTTGATTTTGAGCCTTCAGAAGGGGACAAAAAGGAACACCGCGAGCTTGTGCAATCGATTTCTGAACATTTTCCTGATTGTTTTTGCTTTTAGAACTCGACGTCTATGACTGAAAGTAAGATCGTGTTTCGTGCCAGCACCTAGCCAGGTCTCTTTTTCATATACACTCTATGCAATATTCAGGTACATGTAAATTATGTTAGGTTCACTCGTAACTACGACAAGGACCACGACCCGAGTCGTTTAGATTGTACGAAAAGTATCATATTCTGGCAGGCTTTCGATCATATCATCATGATTGTGCTTACTATTACTCCAAATTTCTGCCGAATTTATATCCTTTACAGGATTCCAGTAAAATGATCAAGAAACTTCCACTGAATCATGCGTCACTCAAGGCAAATAAAGCGATGACAACCTGCGTGAGCGTGTAGTGAATCAAAGACAATTAAAATCTTCATCACATACTATAGCCCAGTAAAAACGCTTTCATTTTGAACAATCTGTCGAGCAACTTCGACTTGCCGGCATGTGGATGAACACCCATCGTTAGTTGAATTAATCTCGGCTAGACACGAGAAAAAATACCAGAATGACCTATCAGCAAGTATTCAGCAGCCACACACTTCTTTAATCCACTCCCTTGACTTACATCGTCCTCTGTGCTTGACGGCAAGTATATCGCTTGAAGCACAAGCGTTGACGCGCTTTAACATTTCCTATTGTAGAGCGTGCATTTAACATATTCTAATAGGAATGTTGTAAAAAAGCGTCCATTTCGTAATTGCATAGGCGAGAATTTAACACCTTTCTTTATTAAAGAACGAGGCCATGAGCTTGCTCACCTCTCTTGACCATTTATTGCGAGCCCGGAGAATCAACGTATTAGTGACTGTGCACAAGCTAAATATCAAGCTTTTTAAATTGTACTTATCGGTGAGCGTCTTTTTTCTGTATGTCTGTAATCAAAATATGTACCAAACATTTTGTTTTAAGCGCGATTAAGTCTTTCACCACCCGTGTATGTAAATAACGTCTCGTGTGTTCCTTACTCGTCGTACTATGTGTGACGTAGTGTAAATGTGAGCATGGGTCATATGTACCTTAAACGTCGTGCTAAGTGCGATTCACAACATTTCCTTTATGTGTGTATCTGTAAACTTACCCAAGGGGTACTGTTCATGTCGTGCAAAGTGTGATGTAGCCGGTAAACATTAACATATATTTTCAATAGCCGAAGATTAAAATTTGGTGGAGTTGCGATCATTCATGTTTACGCTGCAATTTTAACTCCCCACCGACGCCTCGACGACCGACTATCGGACAAATTAATCCGATATTATGTAGATGTTTTCGTCTCGTACCTCGTGTACCCGTAGGTAGGATGGTTGCACTATTCTCGGTGGACTCGCGTCGAGAGAAAAACTTGGCCGTGTTGGAAATGGGCTGGCATGATCGTGCAAAGATCTTCACACGGTCACGGATGTACTGGTAGGGAGAAAACTTAAGTAAGTTACCCAGATCTCAACGATATCGCCTTGTACAATATGTAGATGCTTGAATGCTTGACCTTTTGACCACTTGAGCCGTCTCGCTATCTTGCATCATGTCCTTTATGTTCTTGCTGCATCCAATCGCAATCGGGGTTTGTCTTGAGAATTCTTGATCTCCAGCCAATTACCTGGGTACAGCACTTGGTTTCAGCACGTGAGACCTTCTTGACATCGGGAGGCCAGATATCTATCCCGGAAGAGACGTTAACACGTGTAGTTAGAAGCAAATAGAATTTTGCGTAGTGTTACTTAACTAAAAGCGAAACTATTAATGTGCCTGTCTGTATATCAGAATGTGCTACCACGTGTCTTCTATATTCCGTTAAGCGTTACTTCGCATATGTGGTCCACTTCTGATCTTCGATCACCCTGATCGATCGTCGATCACCAGTATCGTCAATCATCTTCCCGGCTCGCTAAGACCCTGGATCCAATTATATTCTCAGCCTTGATAGCCCTAGATTATCTCGATTCTGGTACCTTGATAATTGATCTTGGTATCTTAACATTGGTCTTAGTACCTTGATGTATGATTTCAGTGTTGCGCAAATTAACTAATCGACCCCTCTCCGTCTCGACGATTAGTCGTCGTTTCCGGACACTGAAAAATCGATCACTTCAAATTTTCTCAAATTTCTTTACCACAAAGCAATTAGTGACTGAGCGTTAGGTATGTGATTATGCAGAATTAATCCAATACTTTAATAGGCAAGTAATTTTTGGGGTTACTCAAACCTTAGTCATTACCAGGTAAGCTGGTTTGTTACACACACTAAGTGACGTTTGAAATTGATCGGCGTATCACTGTATCACACACGCTAGCGGAAATGCCGTACCTTATTGATTAGAGACAGACGGTATCTTTTGTAGATTGGGTATTTAAAGTACGACGTAATTATTGCGTTTTAAAAACCATGAATACCTTCATCAGACTCCTTGATGATGTAGTATATCCCCGGGTTAAATACGTTAACGAAGTTTACAATCGCTATTAACTAGTATATAAACCCAGTCCCTTTCTTGATCAGTTTCTGACACGTGTCATTTATAAACGTCGCTGGTAATTAGAGAAAAGATCTTGTTTTAAGGCTAATTACTCTTTGGCATTAGTGCCACCTTATTTCTTGGAGTAGTTAGTCAATTTAACCAGGACTAGAAGCTTGCGAGCTTGTTATATACCTACAGTAAAGTCCCACTAAGTCGTCAAAGACATACTACCCTCTTATTCAATACCCGTATGAATACTAGGGGACTCTACACATCCACAAGTATCCCCTGACAAAAGGCGTATATTTAGATCCTCTGCAACTTTTATAAAAGAGATGGCTCCAGAGCTCGCTCCGTAGTCTTTACTAATAGGATATGTGTCCACCAAGACTAAAATTTAGCGGAGAGATGACATTACACAGGAGGTAACAGACTATCTCGTATTTATTACGATGTTTATAGTACACCTGGTTAATTTGCAGACCCAAAAAATTAAGTACGATTTTTTCTTGTAATTCTGCGTGCGCACATTGACTCAAAGTTTTACCCTTCGAGCTCGCAATAAACCCTTTGTGACGGGACTCCTTCGCTACATGATATTTTACACAAGTTAAAAATCAAGTGTAAAAAAGGGTTAAGACAGACGTATTTCCAACAGGAAATTAACTGTAATAAATACATTTCTACTATACCCATGATATCGTTTTAAAAGACTTTTCTGCAAGGCACATGTACGTAAGATTCCGATGCACCAGCTTGCCCTTTGCTAAGAGCAAGTAGTTTGTATTGTGACAGACAGTACAAGCTATCGGTGTATCTTACACTCACAATCGACAATTCGTGGCATAGAAGCTTTGCATACGACGTCAGTGTCAAAATTTTAAACATGTGATGGATTTTTAAGTGTTTTTTTTTCAACTTGCGGCTACTGGAACCATACGCAACCTACTCTGTCTAAAAGAGCTTAGAATGAACTTTATCTGAGGTGCATTAGCCAAAGGCCATGAAATTGACATCATGTTCTTTTTACGAAAAAATTGGACCAACACGTTGAAACAGAAAGAGTAACTAAGCACTTACCGTAAAGTAGGCGCAAAATAGTGAAATCATTACTTGGCCTTTTTGTAATAGTCGACCAGCAACCAGACTTGTGCATAGTAAAGCATTGGACACTCCATACCATGAAATCTCTGACCTCCAAAAATCTCCGACCCGGTCCAAGACTGTACATAAGATTAAAATTATTCGAACTAAATTTCACAAATTCTGTGTGTTAATCATCAGAAGTGTCCTGGGGAGATAAAATGTGATAGATGAAAGCATATTCGATTGTACTCAAAACCGCCCCTACTGGCCCCCTACCCCCATACCACCCCCTCACGCCACTTTTCCGCCCCCCCCACGCCACGCCTTGCTCATCATTTAGCGCTTCTCCATCGGTTCAATAAGTTCGATAGGTGGGTGTAAGAGATTTGCTAATCTATCTAATCTCTATTCGGTTATTTCAAGCCCAAAATATGAAGCTTTTCGTTATTGTGCGCATGGTAAATGCCGATCTTTTCAGTTGTACTTTTCTGTCTTGAATGTCTGTAAGTAACGCAATTAGGTGTACCTCCAATGTGCTTAGTGTGTTTTGGTCTTTCCCCATCACAGGTGCATAAGCAAATCTCCAGAGCTTGCTTCCCTATCTTTTGATATGTGTGAGTGAGTTGATTTTTGCGTAGTTATATTCATAAAAGTACTGCTCGCACCGACCTGATATGTCGGAGAGGTAGCTGCGAGGGCTTTACTTGTCCATCTACTCTTTCATTGGCTATAGTTACTGCATTTGGCCAATTTGTTTTGCCCATGAAGGGTTTTATATTACTTCGCTCATCCTATTGGTGAGCACAGTACGTACTTTGTATAAGTGCGGTCTGAGATTTGATGTTATTTATGCAAATTAGCGCTGATTATACATCAGGAAGTAGTACGCACATTTGTGCGCTGAACACACACATGTGTAAAGAGACCAAAATAACGCTGACAGATGCCGCAAACCATATGCGCAACTCTATTTGAAGCTGGTCAATTGTAAATAGCGCCATAAGGAGGTCCAAAACAGGTGGAGGAGAAGCACGGCTTCGCCACGCCGCCTCTGCCGCTTGCACCAACCTCTACCACGCTCACTGCAATTTCTCATTCCCACGGTCTCTCACTCCTTGAAAACCTACTTGCCCTCTTCAAGTCATGGCTGCGTCCGCGTTTCCGCAGCAGATCACGACCGGTCTAAGTGCGCTCGTAGCGTATTGTTTTCAGCCCTCCCAGCCGTGCGACTTTTCGGATAAAACCCAATTTCTAAAATGCGACAACCCGTCGCGCCGTCTTGTTCCTACAGAAAAATGCTCGACTGATGGCCTGTTTCTAAACGCCGCATTCCCACCGCAATGGGTCAAGGACGACTTTATTGAGGCCTGTGGGCTCTGTAACGTCGAGTTTGGGCTGCTCAAGCGCAAACACCATTGCCGAAGCTGCGGGTTGATCTTCTGCGGTCACTGTGCGGCGACTTTTGACCGTGTGGTCAAACTTGGGTACATCGAGCCTGTACGACTGTGCAACGATTGTACGACCACGATACAGAGCGAGAACGACTTTTTCGAAAAGTTTCTGCCACTTTTGGAAATTGGTGATGTTTTTACAAAGTACGGACTGCTGCGCAAGAGACAGGTGCATTTGAAATACGTACGGAGCACGAGCCTTTTCCAGTACCAGCAGTTTAACCCGGTGACGAAAAGCTACAAGGGTGACACTGAAGCGATTCCACTCGATAAAATCACCTCTGTGAGGGAGGTGAGTGTGGGTCCCGACCATGCAAAGTTGGGGATCCTCATTGCAGTTGATTCGCAAGAGCATCGATTTGATGCAGCAACGGAACAACAGAGACAGCAATGGATGGACGCGATTGTCGGGGCTCGGCGGCTGCGTGATGCTTTGCTGGTCGCAGAGCGGGAGAAGCGCGCGAAGCAGGTCGAGAAAGAGAACGACGAGATCCGGGACATGTCGGAGAATCTGCTCATGATGGAGAAGCGCCGCGCGACGTTCCAGGAAGACCGGATGCGTCGTCGCGGGGAGAAGCGCGAGCAGCTACGTGCCAAGTACAACCTCGCCATCGTCGCTTCGTGATTGACAAGCGAGGGATTGAGTGTGCTAAGTGATGCTTCTGTACGACCGGACCGTGCTCGATCGCTTTTGTTGTCAGGTTGGAGTCGTATGACTTCTTCCTCATCTATCCTTGTTGAAAGTAAGTTGTAGTTGCTGTCTTGCGTAGTGCTCGCTGGTTCATACACGGGTGTTGGTAATACATGTGCATACGTTTTCAATTCCAGGTTTTTTGGTCAGCGATAAGCTGCTGCTACCTACTACTGCCGCAGCAAGTTCTGCCTTTTCAGCAATCACTTCTTGCTCTTAGCGTTGGATTCACGAATCGCAGCTTCCAGGTCGTCCCATTTCTCCTTGCTGACTGAGCCAAACATGTTGAACTCGCCAGCATTGGCAACCGTCTCACCACCGTCAAAGCGAATGATCTCGCCATTGAGCCAGCTGGCATAGTCGCTTGTCATGTACGAAGCCAAGTTGGCCAGCTCGTCTACTTCTCCAAAGCGCTTGAGCGGGTTGTTCTGCAGCATAATTTTTTCAAAAGCTCCCGATGGATCAAGTCGGTCGAACGCGCCTTTCGTCTTGATCGGGCCTGGTGCAATACCTACAAAGCGAATGCCGTACTTGCCCCACTCTACCGCGAGTGACTTGATCATTGCCTAAAAGCAGTACGTAAAACACAGCAATACATACCGTCAGCAAAGTCAAGTGGTCCACACATTTTACACATGCTACACAAATACCTACGCTAACGCCAGCTTTCGCTGCGGCAGAAGGCACAACATAACCCGAGCCCGTCTCAGCATATGTGGTCGTAATGTTCAGAAACACGCCGTTCTGCCCGTGCTCAATCATGCGCTTGCCCGCATCCAGCGTCACATTGGCCGTGCCTTTCAGCACAATATCGACGATTGTGCCAAAGCCTTTGGCATTGAGCCGCTCGAAAGGAGAGATGAAATTGCCCGCGGCATTGTTCACCACAATTGTTGGCACGCCTGCCACTTGATCCAGTTCATCCAGTGCCTTATTCACTTGCTCGGCATCACGGACGTCACCAGTGAGTGCAATTGTCTTGTTCCCCGTAAGCGCTCGAATCTCTTGCGCTGTTGCTTCCACGACTTCCCGCTTACGACTCAGAATCGCGACTGTCGCGCCAAGATCTGATAACTTCGTGGCAATGCCTTTGCCCAAACCTGTGCCGCCACCTGTGACAAGCGCTATTTTGCCCTTGAAGGTACCAGGTGGTAGCATCGTACTTAGTACAGGGACCGATCGCGGTGCGATGGAGCTCTTGGCTCGCGACGACAATTGGACGACGAAAGATACGCCCTTTTGAGTAGTCAACATGTTGTACTGGAGATCGAGGACAGTTGAGAGTGAGAATGAGATAGAAAGTGGGGAAAAGAGGGAGGATCAGGTATCCTGAGACTTGTGACAAAGAACAGTATTGGAGACTTCGTCACGTCGAGTTTGACGTGATTGCCGTCAATCAAAAGTGTGGGTGTTGTTGTTTTTAACCAATCGCTGTAGTCCACAGCGCCCAGTTTCGTCGTCAGGATCAAAGTAGCTCTTGGGTACACAATAATGACGCGACAGTTGCGAGTCCTGCGTGGCAGAGCTCTTGTTGTCGTCGGAAGGACGCCATTGTCGCATGTGTGGAGTGCCGTTCGTCCTGGTACCATGTACCGAGCACCTTCAGCTGCAGCTGCTCCTTCTTGCTGCTCAATCGACACAATTCGACATGCTTCGACTAGTAGTACACCGTCTATAACCCAAAAGTTGACAATAACGGACGGACAGCTCACAGGTGCTGCTTTGACTTTCGCTAGGATTTAATTATACTGTGAACGAAAATTGATCGGGTTGGATGATTCTTACGTGTGAATGCAGATGCTGGAGCTGCTGTGTTAGAAAGCGGAGCGGGACACGAACCTTGGGCTATAGTGCAGAGCGTGCAAGCAGCTCTGGAGGCGGTGCATACGACTACAGGGTTGCCTTGGTGGGCGACACTGATGGTATGAGAGATGATGGAGCTTTGGGACAGAAGGTGAAGAATTGTCTGACACTTGATGAACGTGCTGTTTGTGTGTCTCTGATGATCTTCAGCTCTCTGGTGTGACTCTCCGTGCCGCCATCTTTCCGTTGTATGTGCTCCAGATGCAAGCGACTCAGAGGTAGGGTTCAGGGAAGGTGAATGGTTCGTGACGGTATGCTAAGAAATATTGGTGTTGGTGCCTTGCAGGTTGGTGCAAGCTAGCTTGGACTTTCGAAAACTGTACTCGGCGTACAAGTATGCGCGCACGTTTACGGTATCAATCGATCGATGCCAGTGGTTTGTTGCTGATTGGGTTGGAGTAATGAAGTTGTGGATCCCTTGTGTGTTTTGTAGCCTGCGTCCGACCACAAGGGACATCTTGACGCGATTTTGCTTGGACGACAGGGTGTCCGTGCGGTCATGAAGAAGTACAATACGCGTCCTATACAAACGATCGTGGGCGCGGTTGTATACATCCCCATCTTTGCTGTGATGGCGTATAGTGCTCGTGACATGGTGCGCTCGGGAAATTTCGCAGGTTTCGATTCTGGCGGCTTTTCAGTTTGGAAGAATCTGACAGAGGCAGACAGCACATACGCGTTGCCTGTTCTCGCAGCGTTGTCCACGTATGGAAATCTGGAATTGTCAGCGCGGCATAAAAGCGGTTTGTGGACAGAGGTGCTGCATGCAGGGCAGTACGCCACGATTTTTGCGATCCCATTCATGGCTAGTCTACCACAAGGTGTGTTCTTTTACTGGTTGGGGTCTTCCTGGTCGTCTATGGCACAGACCATTGCCATGAACAACAATGAATTTCGTCGACGCATGAAACTCAAGCCACGAATTACAGCGACGCAGTCAACTGGTGCGTAAGCAATCAGTGGTCCAGATTCGGCTCCTCAGAGGCAGTGGTACGAGCAACAGTTGTTATTGTACTCGAAGGAAGTTACCGATTTGGCAGCATCTGAATAAAGACTGACGTGTGAAGGATATCTATTGACTAGAGTGGAACATAGATACTTGTGATGAAATGGTGATGTACCAGCAGCTACCGAGTCTGATACGGGCAACAAATTATGGTATCATTTCTATAGCTCGAAGCGCAGAGCGTAATTATCACAAATTACAATAACAAATTGCTGGGTCCGTCAATCAAGAGCCTATTTCTACCATTCCAAATCCGTTCGCGAACTTCTTTCAAGCGCATAGGATTGGTCAGTACTTGATTTCGTACGGCACCTTTTTCGAGCTTGAGAGTCGCTTTTATAGGAGTGTCCGATTGTGTTTTTGGTACAACAAAAGCGTCAGCTGCGTCCTTCATTTGCGCTTATATCTGGGTTGCTAAACGGTACCCTCTGATTCTTGCGTACCAGCTGGTGCATGAATGGGAATGTTGACGCAGTTGACAGGCACGACCAGAAATTCGAAATATTTCCTGACTCACAAGGGATGCATTCTCATCAAACCTAATATACTCTATTACTTCATACATCCATCAAATCGTCAACAACCATCACTTCCGGCTGCAAAACCCTTACAACTCTATTTCCTTCAGCATACAATACGCACAATCAAGAATCCTATTTCCGACCGAATATTCGTCGTCATCAAAGACTTCGTCGGTAGCCAGCCAGCCACCTCCCTCTCTCTCGCTCAGCATGCGTCACTTCTGACTTCCCTTCGAAACGCCCGCGTCAAACGTGACGTAGCCATCACCACTTCCAATGCACTCTCCTACCCCTGCGACCCCCAAGATCGCGTCGCTCGAAAGTGCCGTCCACCTCGTCATCCTCCAGCACGGGCTATTGGGCAGCAAGCACGACTTTGATCGGTTCGCACAGCTCTTCCGCACCCACTTGGAAGAAGCCGACGAGCACGTCTATGTCCACGCAGCAGAGAGCAATGGCTCGGGCTTTTTCAGGACATTTGACGGGATTGACCACGGCGGAGAACGCCTGGCTACTGAAATCCAGCAAGTGGCTACACGGATGCCGCAGCTGCAAAAGCTGTCCATGATTGGGCACTCGCTTGGTGGATTATACAATCGCTACTGTATTGGTGTGCTCTTTAGTCGCGGATTCTTTGATAAGATTGAGCCAATGGTAGGTGGTGTGTTTGCATTTATTTTGGGAAGATAAGGAGGCGCGTACTTAATAGTTAATTGGGGGTTATGATGTATTCTGTATTCCCGTGCAGAATTTCGTGACCATGGCAGCTCCTCATCTTGGAAGTCGCCGGCCCCGTCGTGGTGCAACAAACGCCGTGTTTAATGCACTAATGCCCAAGATGTTTAGTCGAACGGGAGGTCAATTGACGTTGATGGATACTGCAACGACGGAGACGCAGGCGCTCAGCTCTGCATTGAGTGCGGTTCAGAACAAGAAGTTTTTTCCAGGTACAGATTTGGTGCTATTGTCACTATTCATCACTTGTGTTTTGGGTATTTATGTGAGATACTTGATGCTTTTACAGCATTATCGGATGTAAATGGAGCTTTGCTGGTCAGTTTTCCAGCATCAGAAAAGCTGCTGGACAATGCACAGGAATCGTTCGAGCTGTTTGATTGTGTCTTGAGTGATCGAAAGCTTCGAATCTACGAAAGCCAGGAGAAGGTAGCCGAGAACAAGGCAAAGCTTGAGATTGATATGTCCTCGGCTGATGTGAAGATCATACTACCCAGCAGAAAAAGTGCAGGAAACAGCGCACATTCTCACGCAAGTTTTATCGGACCAGAGCAACGTGGATCTATTGAGCAGCCCGACGAGTCGGACAACTTTCATACCTACATCCGTTGGTCTGCCAATGGAACCGAACCGGCAGGTGCGGACGTCTGTGTGCTGCGTATTCCTGAAGCCGACATCCACCGCGAGTGGAGATGGCTTGTCGCGCTCAGTAATGCTGCATTTGGTGTGCGCTGTCTGACATTCAGTGAAAGTACGAATGAAGCAACGCAGCAAGTATCGACAGCATCCCCTCTCCTCAGCTGCATGACTCGAGGTCAGTTTATGCAGGCGTTGCAGATGTTCAAGGTGCGCACTTTGTACTCGAATATATTCCTCGACATGCAGGTGCCGTACACGTGCGCAGCGATACGCGCATTCAATCCGTATCGCTCAAGTACGGAAAAGTGCCTCATGTCTCCGATTTACAAACACATTGCGTCCGCTTCCCTCAAGAGCGCACGTCAGCTGCGGGATACGATTCCTCGTAAGATCAAGCATCTCGCTTCAAGGAAAACGACGACCGACGGAGCAGCTCTAGTCTCACCGTCGAACATGGAGGATGTGCCACACAGCGATCATGACGCTAAAGGTGGCAACACTGACAGTTCTATCAGCCGTAAAAGCTGTGAAGGAATGGTCGAAAGGAACTCTCTTGCAGCTTCCAGCGGGAGTGGCCGACCGCGTCCATCGTTTTTCAGCCGTCACCGTGGGAAAACCGTTGGCGCTGCGCTTGCAGACGAATCGTGTGGCTCTCGACCAGAACCAATGGTTGATGGCGATATTATCCTTGATCAGCTGCCGTTCGCCTTTACAGCTGATGCCGAGCAAGATGAACTGCGAGGAATGCTACTATCGATGCAAAGTGTGGGCTGGCGGCGGATCGACGTCTTGTTTGGAAGCATCATGTCGCATGAGCACATTATTGCCAAGCGAGCCAACTTGGACAAGCTTCTTGACTCTGGTGCCGATGTTGTGCACCATGTTATGGATACGTTCGTCCTATAAGTGCGTGGCCGTTTATGCTGCTGGAGAAGATAAGGTGCTGTTGTGGGGATGTTTACTCGTGCAGTCGATGTGTCGAGTAATGGTTTGGTGGACTTTAGCTTGGAGCATGCTATTGTTGGTCGGAGGTTGGTTGGCCTCAAGATTGTTTCGCATGATCCTACTACTGACTATCAGTCGTCACGCAATGTGCGGGTCCATGCTATAACTATAATCACGCACAGTGGTAGACGCGTCCGATCATTTATGCACAAGTACGTTAGCAGTGTACGACAAAGCTTCGCTGTTCGATCACTGTGTCCACTTGTACGTCGTCCGATATTTTGTCATGACATTTCGTCAATTTTGACGTACACTTATTGATTCTCACGGTGAGCTGAAACTGCGCCGCCAATGCATGTATACCACACCGCAAAAGAAACAAACGCAGAAACCGACTGACATTGAACATGGTCAGGTGAATGGTAAAAGTAATGCTGGGGTATGCAAAATCAGGACGTCACTTTGACTTGAACTTGCAATGACATCAAATCGTCCGATCCGGTCGTTCAACACGAGCTGTCGCCACGTTCCAGCAGAGAAATACCCGCGAATATTTAGCTATTTATGGTCGAAGAAAATAGGCAACGAAGTATTTCTACGACGCTTGGAAGCTACCAACGTGCACGAACAAGGTACTTGTTTCTTTCCCGCTCCTTTTCGCTTGCTTTAGAAATCTGGATACTTCTCCTCGCATCTTTATTTGCGCCTCAGCATGTCGTGCCGCAATACTTCCAATTCGAATGACCTTTCGCGTTCTCTCTCGATCATTCGATCACCGTCAGCTCGTAGCTTTTAAGATTCTCGAGCCCAGTGTGTTGCAGCCTCTCGCTCACTGCAAGTGTCGCTGCGACTGTGTCTTTCTTCTTTCTATGCTTTCCAATGGGACCGCTTGATTCGATGTATATCTCGACACGGCCATGTTAAATCTTCGTAAACTCAAATAAGCTCTTCCACTTGGCGTTGGCTTCTAATTGTGCATAGTGAACAATCCCATAGACAGCTGGTAACCGTGTCATCGTGCAAAGAGTAGCAGTCTCGACATGCCTGGCGACTTCGCTTTCGATATCGTTCACGCAAGCAGCTCGACAGACGCTCATTTTCGCCTCTGGTCGATCTCAGTATCTCACGTGGCTTCTGCGCTCTGTGCCGTCTGCCACCAAACAAGGCGGCGTCTCAGGATTCCAAATGTCTATCGATACCTATCTAGTCAAAATTAACAGACCAATACAATCAGCTTTTCTTCTTCGTACATGCACTCGTAATCGTAAAGACACCGCGTACTAGTTCGACTGTCACGTTCTCCTGTTCACGGGCCCCTTACAGTCGCTTAGTGCGATCAGCTTTTCGTATGAAGTTGCTCGAAATTCATCCGGCTCGCGCAACTCCTCGACAAAGCATTAGAAGTTCGGTCAAGACACTTAACCATACGTCGTCATACCGCAGGATGTTGCAAGTAATGCTGCCCAGACAATTCGTCGTTCCAGAGACGCGTCTAATTCACCTCAAACGTCAACACTCACAGCGTCACGATCATGGTGCAAGTCAGTTCACGACGTTTCAGTCGAACGTTACAGGATTTTCCCCCCTCCCTCAAGTGAACGGTTGCGATCGTGACGACAAGAAGCGGCGACCGCCATTTGCACTCGAAAAACGAACGACGATTGGACCATTTCAGTCGTTTTACGTGCGACTAGAGGAAAAGAGAGCACGAACGAGGGACAGAAACGCGCCATTTGCACCTCCGTGTGCACAAATGTTTACTCCCTTTTTCTGGCACACGTCGTCGCCCGGCAGAAGCGACACACGGAAAACGGCAGTCAGCACTCACTCGCTTTGCGTGCCCATTTTGCAATTCACCAGCAGCCCGTCGTTGCTACTACTTCAGCGACTGACTGACGGTTTCAGTCCCTTTTTTTTCTGCTTTCGAAGAGCTCCATTTCGATTTTGTCGTCTTGTCCATCGTAACTTCAACATGTTGAAGGAAGAAGACCCGATGATTGAGCTCCTGCGCGAGTGGATCATGGCGCCTCTAGACGACGCCACGGAGCTGCGCGGGTCCGTCCTGAACGTCTTTGACTTCATGAGCGAACTCATTGCCGAGCACGTCGCTCGTCCCGAGAACAGTCGCTTACGCAAGTTTCTACCGAAACTCACCCAGCTCTTCCTCCCGCTCGACTTGACCACCGCAGCCCTCAAGTACGATGCCAGCACGCACTTTCTCGCGCGGAAGCGCGTGCCGCCGACGTTTCGAGAGCTCCGGCATGTCCTGAATCTGGCTACGACGAACGCAATTGCTGGGAAGCTGAAGCTCGTGACATTTGATGCTGATGATACGATCTACGAAGACGGTGGCAGCATCCGGCAAACGTCAAGGATGGTGCAGGTTATTGTGGAGCTACTGCAGCGAGGGATTGTCGTGTCCCTTGTCACAGCTGCTGGGTACCCTGGAAACCCTGGCCGCTATGAACAGCGGCTTCGTGGCATTTTAGATGCTCTGGCAGAGCTGTCGAGTGAGGAACGAGCCCGTTTTCTCGTCATGGGCGGCGAGTGCAATTATTTGTTTGAGACGTATACACACAAGACGTCTGGGGTCGTTGGCTTGCGGGAGATTCAAGGTGCCGTGTGGAAAGATGGACGGGGAGAGCGCTGGCCCAAGGACGAAGTCACGGCGCTGCTGGATGCTGCCGAGACGGTGTTGCAAGACACGGTGCAAGCACTGCACTTATCGGCACAAATTCTGAGGAAAGAGCGAGCGATTGGAATTATCAACACGTCGGACAAGCGCATTCGGTACGAGAATTTAGAAGAGATTAGTCTCACGCTCCAGCATGAGCTGCGTGACTTTCGAGTCCCGTTTTGTGCGTTCAATGGCGGCAATGACGTGTGGGTCGACATTGGGCATAAGGCATTGGGCATCCAAGCGCTGCAGAAGTACGTGTTTCGCTTTTTGCCTACAGAACTGCACGATAGTGAAGAGCTGCGCATTATTCAAGGCCAAGAGTGTCTTCATGTCGGAGATCGCTTTACCACGACGGGTAATGACACCCGATCACGAGACGCTGCAACGACGATCTGGGTCTCGAATCCTCAGGAGACTGTGCGCATTATGACGATTTTGCTACAGACGATTGACTCGGTGCGCGAGCAGAAGAAGGCGCGAAAAGAAGAGAAAGAGAAGGCGAAGAAGGAAAAGAAGGCCAAAGCGTTCGCAAGTGTCGTAGCTGCGGCAGTGCTCAGCGATGAAGGAATCTACAATTCATTGGAAGGGATCGACGCGACTGTCTCGAGTGATGGCGAAAGCAGTGGCAGCAGTGACGAGCTGGAGACTACAGTCCAGGCAGCAATTCAAGCTGCGACAACCGCATCTCTGGTCGAGTAAATGAATGGTGTGTAGGCTGCCGTAATGTGCTAATTTACCTTACATGTTTCGCTGATTCTGAATGTTTGATGCAGTCAAATGCTCTACTGGTCTCTTTGTTATAGCTGGTGGACAGACGTGAAGCTCTAGCATCAGGTGTTTACGTCTTCTCTTGATGTCTATGCTAATCCTCTGAATGACGTTTTGCTTTAGTGTCATCACTTTGCTGTACAATAATGGAGCACCTCTACACCACCTTAGTTTATATCGATACGTCGACAAGTTTCTGGTCCTGTGCACTGTTATACATGGGTACAGTCCCCATCTATCTGGCTCGTAAATCTACGCTGCAACGTACAGTATCACCGCGACCATGTCAGATAGGCTCAGTAGGGTATACTTGCATCTACAATGTGGACGATCCGGAAATTTTTAGACGTAGGAACAGCAAGTCCGTACGATAAAGAGCTAGTGCAATAGTGCGTTATAGTTAAGAATGTTAAGGCATCGAAATGCCCAGCCACATTGACGCTTAAGCCACTGTTGTGATTTTAGTTGAGACGCACGTAGTCAAGTTTTTATCGGTGGAGTGTCCACGCCAGCTATGGGATGGAAGAACACACGTTCAAATAGAGCACGCTCTATCAGCCACACTCGAATAGAGCACGCACTTAAAGCAGCAACGTGCTGTTTCGCATAAATTTCGAGATACAAAAGTCTAATGCGACCATCTTGACATCTCGTGATTCGCATGCGATTTATGTAAGGCACGTTACAAAGGCTTTAGGTGCCCAAGCTTTCCGGTATTACAAAAACACATTCGCCGATTCTATGCAGAATTTGTTGCCCAACTTGAGGCTAAGGCTGCGAAGGACGACTGGCAACGCGCTGCCTTCATGCGAACGCCACGACAAGTTCGGTCCCATGCTAATGAGCTCTTTGAGTATCAAGTTTGGACGGGTTATCGCGTCGCGTTGGGTCAGCTCAATGTGTACCATGCTGGGAGGTCGACGACAAAAGTTGTCGAAGTTAATAACTTGCCGCGGTTGCCATGAGACCATGAAACATACATTTTGGTTATGTCCATGCGCCGTCGCTTTATGGACCAAACTAGTAACGCAGTGGACAGGCGACGAGTATCCCACCAGACCAGTTAACGATTCTTGGTTGCATGCGCTAGCAGACAAGTACTAGCGGTAACGAAGCACCGGGCAGGGATCTTGAAGGAACGGTTTTTAGATGATGTGAAAGAGGCCGAACGGGTCTGGAAGCGAATCTGGTACATCCTTGCCACGGTATGCCAAACAAAGCTGTGGACGGACAGAAATGAAGCTGTCTACCGAGCGGCAACCATTAATATCTGTGGGAGCACGCAAAGTTAGTGGGCCACCTGCATCTGTCATCTGCGTGCGATCGCGAAGAGGGGGCATCGGAAAGTAGCGACCGCAACTGAGGGTGCCATGCTTTAGGCATGCATAGAGTTGCTGGAGCGCGACCCTACAGGGGTGCCAGTATTTACTGGCCCCAGTCATGGTCAGCCCCCGGGTCACGTACGGTGATCACGGCATGGCTGAAGACATACCAGAGTTCTTGCACATAGTTAACATAACCATGGAAAATAGACAATTTGAACCACCACCACCAGAAAGGAGAGGGCGTAAGTACGCACTGACACCAGATAAAGTGCACAAATCGATCAACTCTATCACCTTTTTAGCCACTTGTTGTATTTCATGTATTGGCGCTCGTATTGTCATGAGCTTGGCAATGGCTTGCAGCTCGTGTGCTGACTCACTGCGATCAAAAATGGGATCGGGATTGACCTTGTATCTTGTAATTACCATCTAACTGAGACGTGAGTGCCGTTTGTGACAACATTATCGGTTTCATCGGTGCTGTTTGAAGAACTACGTAGAAGCACTTGAATGCTTACCGATTGTCGAGCGTAGTGGCTAACGCCATTGTGCTTTGATGGCGGTTGGTTATGCATACTGCCCGCATTTCTTCGATACCTGATGGTGTGCCACAATACCACTTGGTGGCTTCTTTCTCGGACAACACTCCATTCATCCTACACAAATGGTCATGTACGTCCAAAGATTTAGAATGTACTGGAAATGAATTTCTGATTTAAAACTAGAAGTGCTTGTACTTCGAATGTAGTGATGATCGCACCTGCAGAAATCACGGTCGTATCATCCGCATATACCAGCAAAGACACAAAACTCTATCACTAGTCTGCCCAACTGATCGAGTGGAATGTTCACGGCACCTAAAAATACGCAGTGATAGTTCATTGTCTGTTCTCGACTTCTTATTCTTATGAAATGGCGAATTCTCACTTTGATGTTATATTCCGTAAACTACGACAGAAGCTTGGTTGCAGATCTTCTAGCGTTCATCGAATTCTGGTCAAGCTAGCTCGAATAACAAGTGTGTAACGGCATTGACGGCAGTCGATAATGTCGTTGGTAGTCAGGATTCGTGCTGTCGAAAACACTCGTAGAGTCATGCATCAAGCGCATCGATGCCCGAGTTCGTTTGGATAGTTGCTTACGCCTTTTTTCGGTTTCTGGAACGCTCATCACGTGACATTGTACACTTGTGATGGTAGCATTTCAGACAAAAACTTCCAATGTTTTCCGTGGCAATAGAATAGGCTTTGCACTTGTTCACGAGTAGTAGCAACTGTCTAATGTGGCAGCTTTTCTAGCATGGAAGGTAGTGGCATGAACTACTCACAATAAATTCGAATAGCACTTGCTTACGGAGACTATAGAGTAGCGGCAACTATCGAACTCTGACGGCCCTAGACAAGCCAATCGCGATTCGAAAACCTTAAACGCCAAGTCAGAGTGGCTAACTGCCATGCAGAGTTTCAAAATGGATGCCCACGCCCACGCCCATGGTTTTTTATGGTCATGGGTGCGACCGAAAATTGGCGGGTGGGCGTGCGTGGGTGGGCGCGACGGCGTGAGCTTTTATTATCCAGCACCATATTTTACTAAATTTTATATGCTACGGTGTAAAAGGCTTATTTATACAGTGTCAATCTGGGTTTAAACTGGCCAAAAAATTTGGGTGGGCGTGGGTGGGTGCGCTGAATATAAAATAACGAATTGGTGGGAGTGGGTGGGTCGAGCCAAACCATGCCTGAGGTTTTTAGTCTATGGGTGGGTGCGGTAAGCTCCGATTTAGAACTCTGCTGCCATGTCCATAAATGCATCAGATGAGTGAACAGCTGGACATTTTCAATTTTAGGTTTTACAATCAAAGGCGATAGTTGTTGCTGGTGCTTTGTGTGTGTACAACCAGTTGACTCGGAGTACGAAAAACAAGGTTCACGCCGCGAAAGAGCATGAACGCATTAGAGATGCTGATCAAGAATACCCCCACGATCGACGATACCGGTGCTGTTGATAATGACGAGGTCAAAGTCAATCAGGCCTCAAGCGATGCTTCTGCTGATAAGCAGCACTAACGAAGCAAACGAATTGTCCAGGGAAGCAACTTCGAATTGGTTTGTCGCAATGTACTACCCGAGTCCGAATGGGCGGCGTCAAGCATTTTTTAACGACTTTGCCGCCGGGGTGTACTCAAATACAAGTGTTACGTACTTGAGGCGTGGTAGATCCAAAGAAGTGTGTCCACGTATCTAACGACGTTGGGATTAGAATGAGTGCTGCTAAATAGCCAGGCAACCGTGCGGGCTCCAACAGCTTCATGCGTGAACTTCCGCGACGACATTTACACAAAAGTGGCACATGCGCTAGCAGAAGTCAAAACTGCACGGGTACTACTCGCGGTGATGTGATCCATAAGTAATTGATGCTGCAATCCGTACAACATTGTTCGGCCATGTAGCTGCCACCCTCATACTGCCTCAATCGAAAAATTGGTAATTTTGTGCTATTCAATGCATCGCCACGTCAACTCGCATAGTACGATGTCGTTACGACCTATTCATTCCTTAGTATCGTTACCCCCCCGTAGCATACCAAGTCGGCTATGTGTACAAGTCTATGGCCGCGTAGCTGCAATGTACATGGCCCACGAGCGTGAGAGACCGTCGTCCATCGTGACGTTTCTCAACTTTGTCAGTGCAAAGCCCTTGTCGATCGTCGCGTAGTTCATGTAGAGCAGTGAGAGCCAGGGGTTTGTCTGCTCATCCTCCTGTACAATAGGCTCCCGAGACAGAACCTGGTCCCATTCTTGGGAGACGAAATCGTACGTCCGCACATACTCCGTGACAGCAGTCGCAGGAAGCATTTGGATGCCGTGGATCGCATACTTCTCGCCACTGAACCACGTGGCATAGTTGACCTTGTTGTCAAAGAGAATACCCATGACCTTGTTGTCCCGGTAGCGGTCCGGGTGAGCTCGATTGCCGTCTTCAATGAGGAAGTACGTCTGGATCGCGCGGGCATTGAGCTTGACCATGAGCTTCCCAACCGTTTCGAGGTGCTTGTCACCAGTCACTTTGCCCATGAGCGTCATGCCGTAGAAGAAGTTCATGTCTTCCGACGTGCTTTCTTGGTCCTTGCCGTCTGCGAGTGCCGTGATGCCGTGCGAGTACGAGTGACCTCGGAACCAATCGAGACTCCGGAACTTGGGGAAGTACGGGTCCGCGTCCGACGGGTTCGCGACGTCCCGGATCAAGAAGCCTGCCATGCGGTTGAGCTCCGGGATGCCCGACCAAGTAGGGTCCAGCTTGTTGATAATCGCAGCCGTGACGATCCAGTAGCCGTAATGGTAGTGGTGGTCGTTGTACATGGGGTTCCCAAAGTCCACGTTCGGGTCGTTCAGGGTGAACCCCTGCGAGCTCACCACGCCTCGGTAGACCGTGTCGTAGTTCAAGGCGTTCGTCCACGTGTTGCTCAGGAACGGCGTGAGAAGTCCTTCGAGCTTCGTCATGCAGTGCGAAAGCAGCGCCGTGTCGTCTTCCCCGACGATCGACGGGTCTCCAGCCATGAGACAGAGCGACGCGTACTTTTGTGCAGCTTTACCGTTGAAGTAGTAGCTCTGGCCCAGAGCGATCGTCCACTGGGAGTCGATGTCAGCGATCAAGTTCTTCTTCATCTCGTGCATCTCGACGTGTTTCGGGTCCGGTTTGCGTGACGGGTAGAAGTCAACCGGGAACTCCACGGTTTCTACAAGGCGCCACTCGGGCGGAGACGACGTCGTCACCACTCCCTGCATCAGTCCTCGTGTTGTGGAATGAGCAGCAACACCTTGAGCCTCGACGGCATACCTCCGGTCCAGAGTATCCACGTGGTGGACCTGGGCGTAGTGCAGCATCCCGTTCGCGCAATCTCCGCTGGTCTTCCACTTGTACGCGTAAGCATTTTCATTGTGAGCTTCCACGCGACCGCCATCGAGGACGCAGCTCGCAGTTTCGTCAAAGATACGCTGCTCTTGTGCTGATGCATCAGGGATCAGAGCAACACGAGCAGTCCCGGTGAACGGCTGCTTCATGTCCAGCATCGAGTGGCCGTCGAAGTAAAGCGTGACTTCGCTCGAGAAGTACAGCGTCCAGGTGGCACTGTTGCTGAATTGCAGCACAAAGCGGTTGTTCGTAAGAGCACGGCCGAGGGTCTCTGTGGCGTCCAAGCTGTTGATTGTCACGATAGTGTACAGCGTCTCGAAACGCGGCGTCAGACCCGCGTAGTGCGAAGTGACGAACGCCATGCCGCTTGCAAGAGTTGCCTCGAACTTCTTCGTTGGGTCCTCGCGGGACAGAAAACGGAGCTGCACGCTGAGATCGTCCCATTCAAACACCTCAAAGACCGGGAGGGACGAGTTGGAGAACTCGGTCGCGGAGAAGGTGAACTCGGGCACTTGACCGTGGAGATAGTACGCTTCGGCGTCACCGTTGCCAGTCAAGCCTCCACCGAACAACCGGGTCGTGTACGGGTAGTTCATCGTGAGCCCAAAGGGTTCCTGGAAGATGGACGGGGTCACGCTGTACGGGTTCGTCCACACAGGGTACACAACCTTTGCGTCGTTGGCAGTGGCAGCGATGATGTTGCCCCACCAGTCGTTCGTTGGAACAGGATGTGAGCCCACGATTCCAGCTGCGAGGAATTTGGGAGGCAGCAAGTTCTTCATGGCGTCCGTGTGCTTGAAGAGAGCGTCCGGCGGGGCTTCGGCGTTGAAGATTGGCGTGAAGAGGTCGAACTTGGCGTCCGGGGGCACGGTCGTGGTACTTCGCATCGTCGAGATGCTCGGCTTGAAGACACCGAAGACAGCTGCAGTCAACATCAAGGTCGAGACGATGGCGAGCACACTCCATCGACTGATGTGGCGGCCGGTAGGAGAGGGAATTAGCGGCGCGGCTCGAGTTTCGAGCAACGGACGCACTTCGCCGCTGTCATGAGGTTTCTTGGCACTCGACTCGATCATGGGTTTGTGAAGATGTCAAGTCGCTCGTGAGGGACTTGCTACTGCTGCTGCTGCTGGAGGGGGTGCGGAGAGCAAGGCAAAGTCGAAAGTGTTTGCTCTATTCGATGCTCTTGTCTCGGTCAATGGAGACGCAAGGTCTTGCTCGGTCTATCGATCCATCTACCAATGTACCTATCTATCAACATGTCTATCGATCGATCGATCAACGGTTCAATCAAGCAGATACCGTGCAGTCGCATCAGCCTTTACATACGTATCTTCTGCTGTTACAGATCCATAAAACGGCGTTAATCATATGCGGCGAGACGTTATCGTCACTTCGTCGAAACGGACAGAAGTGGCAGACCCTGTCACGGGTCTTCTCGACGGCTATTCGGCCAATCATATGCACGGATTCTCTCATGCGTTGGACGTGACTGGTCATTAAGTTGTTCCACGACAAGCTGTCGTCTGATTGCGCTGCCGAACTTCAGAAGTCAACCTACGACCAGTCAAGTGGCAAGTGCAAGTGCCGCACGTGCCGAGGTGCGAAGTCCGGACGTATCGCATGCAAATGTGACGCGTCTTAGGAAGATTCCCGGCGCACGCGCGGCACATTTATTTGCTCCGTGAGATGATGCTGATGCCTGACTGCCTGCCCACATTCGGTTCGTTACGAGACGACATGATGTTGTCGCCGTCACCAGCCATCGGCGACCAAAACCAGTAGGTGTCGCAGCGAAATACTGGCGTTTTGTCTCGATGTTGCGATCTCGAGATGGGTGCGCCAGTGTTCCAGTCCAGCTCGGACGTTGCAGCGTCTTTGATCCTTTTGTCCCTGTTCTCTGCTGGTAGAATCCGCTCGATGCAGACCACGTGTGTAATCGCAGGGCATCGTGGTTGTCAGTGCTGCTAGATGAACGAAACAACAAGTTTGTTGTGTATCGTGCAATTCGTCGACGCCATCTGTCTGGTCTTTTTCTGTCGAAGAAACACGGTCACGTGATCGAACGGACGTCAAGGTGCAAGGACAATGGGACACCAAATCTGACAAAATGGGTCTATTTTGCCAAACGCTCACTCTAAAAGACTTATATTCTGTTTCGGAGTGTTGCCTGTCGCACAGCCGTCTTTGCAAACGTGATGCCACTTGCCTCCGATGCGCAGATTTGGGCTATTATTTGACACGGCGACAAATTTGGTTACCGGTGCAGAGCAGATTAGATGCGACGAAGTTCACGGAGGAATTGCTCCAGAGCTGGTGCAAGTCAGGCACATTGGGTTTTCTTTGATTGTCAGGCCTTTATCTCGAATCATTGTGTCCTTTACAGCATCAAAAACGTATTTCCTGTTAGTGGGCGTTAGGATAGCCGTGACGAGGCCAACACGGAAGCTCTTCTGAAGCGTGTAACGCAACGAGCTGCACCACGCGGTGCTACAAAAATGTCATGGACAAGCGTGGAGCCATGCCAGCGCGATCAGCGAATACCAGTCTGGCTATATTATCGACTTGCACGTCAGCAACTAAAGCTGTATTCTACTGGCCACGAGAGAGACTCGTTTTGCGGAAAACTGGGAACATGTGTGGGTCCTAGAGTGACTCTCAGGCATTTCATGGACACGTCTACGTGCGCAAATCTGCTGATGAAACCTTTGGTCTCTTTCTTTGGACAGGTGAAAAGACAGATTTCACGCATGTACAGGAGTACGCGACAGCCCGAATACCACTAGAGCTGTCTCCAGCGCTTACCAGAGGGCTGCACCAGGCATTTGTGGACGATGTCGCGATTTTCACATGAGAGAATGTGGCGTATACTGTGTTCGGTCTGCATCACAACCTGCTATAATTTTGGCACCTTCTTTCAGTGTTCGAGAGCGAAGAGATCACAGTGACAGGCGCTGTTCAAAATTCGCTCAAGAGGGCCTCATACACCTACGAACACTAGCTACAATGGAACGGAGACGAGCTCACAGAAAGCACGAGAGACGCACCTATTGCAAATCGTTGGGCTTCTCGACACCTTCCAAGAGTAGTACCACACGAAGTGCCGAGCAACGTAACACTACCGGATCGAGCACAGACACGACATTGCTAGCCTGACTGAGACAATTTTAGGCATCTTGCAACAAAAGATTGTTGTGCAGCCAATTCATTCCTCTCTCTACAAAATCCAATCGCACTTTTACGGAAGTACTTGACGACCCGATCTACAAACGGCTTCTACGCATCCTGAGGAATGCTCAACACCAACAAGTTATTGTACTAGTCGAGCAGCGGGATGAAAGAGGATGTGCTGTGACGCTTCCTTTCAATGCGTATCGATCCAGAGCTCGAAATAGTTGTTCGATCTGACCAGACTAACTTCCTTGCGAGCAAAGGGGGGCGACTGTCCATGCAAGCATAGTTCGTTGTCCGTGCCCTCTACATCGTGATACTTCTTACCTCCACATGAGCCAGCAACAACGCTTGCGTTTTCAGTCATGTGTGTCGCAGGCGCGCAGAAGACTCTTTCGTACTCGTTCACAACATCGAGAAGGCAAATGCACCGGCATTGCAGCTGCAATGAGTTCCTCTTCCAATAGCGCCCCACACTCGGGATGGTCGGCTGTGACACGCATCCCACACACAAGCGTCCTTCATATCTCGAACGATACCCAGCCGATCAAACCTGGAAGTTTCGTGATAACCACTAGTAAAGATGTTTCTTCCGCAGGGTTTCGCAATAGCCACCCAGTATGATCGTCTCTCGCTTGAAGGTTTCGTGATAACCACCCAGTATAGCCATCTCGCGCACCCAGCTATCATGTAATCTGACCCGAAAAACCGCCGAGCTTGTACTTGGACCACGAACAACCGTCTGGATTTTACATGCGCTACCAACTTATCATACTCGTGCTCACATTATCGTGCTTCCCCTACGATCGTAGCACTCAGTAACGCTGACGAAAAAGTAGTTTCTTTCGTGCGCGACACGTAAATGCGACAAAAGCCGCTCAGTAAGTTACCGGAGACCTACTATTTCGGTCTCGCTCTGGTCAAATTACCACCCTTTTTCCAATGGCACCTACCTTTCATCTTCAAGATCACAAGTCGCGAAGCGTCACGATGGCTTTAGAAGTCAGAATGTCTATGCGAATCGTCAGCGTTTCAGCCCGACCTGCCAATTCGGTCTGATCTTCGTACATGGCTCCCGTGTCAAGATGTCTCCGTCGAGCTCGCAGTTGGTCATCATCCAATTCATTTTCCAACGTGACTCAAAGCCCACAAGCCAACACCAACTACCAACCTCCTCACCAGCTCAACGCAATCATGGGCATTGACCACCACTTTACCGTTGAAGAGGAATTCTCCAAGCTAGAGCTCGCTCTGAACCAAGCAGCTGGCGATACTGCCGTCTGCCTTCGCTTGCTGAAGAAACAACTGTCCGACTACGACCACCGCAATGGCAACATCTTCAACCATTCGGCCACGTCGTACCTGCGCAGCGACATGCGCTCGGCCAAGGACACGTCGGCGGATCTGAAGAACGCGGCTTACCAGATCAATCACAGTCTGAAACCATCGAAAGCAGAGCTAGCTACTGCCCGCCATGCGATGAACGCGACGACGAGGGTGATGGAAGCTTTGACAGCGACAGCCCATAACTACGACAAGGAGAATGGCCAGTCTAAGGGGATCAAAGGCACGATCGATGCTGTATTGGGCGGTCATCACGACAAAGACCATCACCATGAGAAGAATGGCACGACGCACGAGGGACTTCTGAAAACCAACGGCACGAACATGGCGCCAGAAGGAGGACTATTCGGTGCCACGAGGGAACATGACAAGAAGCACGGTGGGCTCTTGGGCGAGAAGGACGGACCCAGAGGATTCGCGGCAGCTGCCGACAAGAATGGCGGTGGTGTTATGGGGACAACTGAGTGCGTGGAGGTGCTAGTGAAGAAGAACCTCCGTGACAATTTCAACCTCAGCGCGCTGGACCATCAGATTTCGGCCGCAGAGAAGGTGTTGTCGCCGTCTATTGTGGAGCGTGCGAAGGAAGTGATACACGATGTTAAAGACAAGCTGACGGGCGACAAGTCGAGCCCCACCTACTCGGACCACGTCAACGCTAACCGTCACGCTACGCACCAGACGACGGTCCAATCGACGGCTCTATGAAGAGGAGCTCATGCGAGGACGCGCGGTGCATCTGCAGCTAAGGGAATCATGACTCCGTAGCTACTGGTAGTCTTCATTCATCTTTTTAATTCAACCCAATAATGATTGACACAATCAACTTGTTGTGAGCCGAAGCTCAGCAGAGTTTCAATCGGAGCTGTACGCACCTACCCACAGGCTAGAAACCTCGGGCGTGGTTTAGCTTTGTCGACCATTGTGATACTAAATCACTACAGCTTGCGACCACGCACTCACCCACCAATTTTCGGTCGCACCCATGACCATAAAAATCGTGGGCGAGGGTGGGCGTGGGTGTTGGCGCTCAATTTGACACTCTGGTGCTCAGTCACCGGGAAGGATATCACGGCCTTAGACTTCGAGCTATGCATGATCTGACTTGTGATGAGGCAAGTTGAAGGGCATTGCGAAGAGAACTAAAATCGAGGTTGTAGGAAGTCGCACCAGATTGATGGGGAATGAAACTTGGAACTGCTGAGCGCATAGAGCAGTTCACGTTCACATACAGAGGCTCAAGTATCGAGGTATAGACCATTCGATGAACGCACAACCCACGACGGATGCCGAACGTGTTATTGACACTTGCTTCCTGCATGGTAAACAATGCTGCATCTGACACATTGACGAAGCTTCTTTACCTGTGCGGGCCGGTGTACGAATAAACGATTATAGTGCATGGGTGGTATAGCATTCTTGATGCGGTGATTTGACTGTCGATGGCACGCTGAATGAAGGGCCTATTATACAAATTACAGTTTGCGCACACGCTACACGTGTGTGGCGAATCCATCCTGCAAGGCGACATCAGTAATACAACCACTACAATTCTGACCATGCCACCATGTATTGCCGACCTTTGTCACCCACGTCATTCAAGTACCACCGTCTTTTGCTGATGCCGCTGTCACAAAAGCCGTCACAACGCATTAACCTATACGTGTGTCTTGCGATGCTTGAAAAGGTGTTACTGGCTTCCTACTGAATATCCAGCATGAGGCTTTGTGCACCCGCGATGGCCAGTTATCGACTCGTGGTTACACGGATAGCCACTCGGACTTCCATGAACCCCTCGTGAACCTGTGAGTCAGTAGCCACCAAAACAGCTTTGACTACCGATTGACGTTTGCTACCCCTCATCCCGCTGTACATCTTTACGACAGGTACTAATCTACACAATGCAATCCACACAAAGCACCGATCTAAACTCACCATTTTCTAGCCTTACAACAAAGCACAGAACCAATCGCCACCTAAATTCCCATTTCAGCAGCAATAAACACAACCGTTTGGTTCAACTCGAAACAGACCAATCGTCTTTCCGCCGTTTCCATCAGTCAAGATGCCGAGTCACTGCCATCCATCGTCCGCTGCGTGGTGCACACCAACTATCCATCGTCTTCAACTCCCTCGAAAATAGTGCCGTTTCGAACCGCCATTATTGCAATGCTACAATCCCACGACGAGCACATGTCCCTAACAACAGGCACTATCGACAGCGATACCGACCACGACGACCTCAATGACGACGACGAGGCAGACCTGGATCAAATGAACGAACGCTCGTCTATAAATCAAGACGCCCATCAAGACAATCTCTCACCATTACCATCGACTTCGAGGCCGAAAAAAGCTTTGAAAACCGCCATAGCGCATGGGAAAACTGAGCCGCACTTTCGAGCTAATGGCGCTTTGCGGCAGGGCGTGGCCCCGCGCTTACTGTCAGTGGAAACAATCGGGATTCTCGCTCAATATGCCGCTGTGGGTCTAGTTTACGGCGTCTTGCCCAGCACAATCACCCCTTTTTTGACCTACTACTTGAACATGGAAGGGACGGCTACGACATCGGCACGAGCGCTCCTGTCCATTCCTTGGAGTTTTAAGGTGGTGATTGGCGTGGTGTCGGACTGTGTACCACTTTTTGGGTACCGTCGACGGCCATATATGGTGCTCGGCTGGTCGGTGACAGTAGTGTGTCTCCTGGCAATGGCTGCGTCGCCACTTGAAAGACCGTACTTTTCTGACCCGGCTATGCGTCAAGTGAAGCCAACCGAGTACTCGCTTGATATGATCCAGTCGCTGAACAAAAGTGCACCTCATAGTGGAGCCAAGTATATTGTGCTCATGATGTTTGCAACACTAGGATATGTCTTTGCAGATGTCGCGGCTGATGCTGTTGTTGTTGAGATTGCGCAATGTGAACCAGAAGAAACTCGAGGACGGACGCAGACAGCGATTTATACGGTGCGCACACTATTTAATGTCGTGGCGCAGACGATTACAGGCTTTGGACTGAGCTCACCAGACTATGGCGGGAGTTTTGAGTTTGGTCTTTCGTTTCCAGACACGATGCTTCTATTGGCCGTGTTCTGTGTGCCAGTGATTCCAATGACATGGATGTTTGTCCGTGAAGAAGTTGTTTTCGAGCGACAAAAATTCCATACGTATCTTGGCAATCTGTGGGCTGCTATACAGAGTCGAGCAGTGTACCAAGTAATTGCTTACAGTTTCTTGTCGGGCGTCTTTAGTAAATTCACCTACGTGGCTCAGGACCCCATGACGTCGTATTGGGTTCATGCCACAAGCTTTAACTTGAGCTTGAGCAGTATCTTTGGCAGTTTAGTGACAGTGGTCACGCTCACGCTGACAGGCAAATACGGGCTGCATTGGAATTGGCGGACGATGCAAATAGTGACGATGGTGAGTGTGATCGCACTTGACGCCACATGCACCATGCTGGTGACGTGGAACATTGTCCGTAAGCAGTGGTTTTGGCTTGGTGTATCCATTGTGGAGGCAGTGCCGGATGCGGTTGGGTTCATCATTTCGACGTACGTCGTCGTGGAGCTAGCTGGTCACGGTAATGAGGGAGCGATTTACGGCTTGTTGACCACAGTGAGCAATCTAGGCGGGCCGTTTGCCCTCACGCTGACCAAGAACGTGAATGCAGCTTTCAAAGTGTACAACGAGGACATCTTGAACGATACTGAGGAGGTGCGTCGCGACGTGACGATTACAATCCTGATATCGTACGTCATGAAGTTGCTGGCACTTCTTTTTCTACCGCTGCTGCCTCGTCAAAAGGCTGAAGCGCAGGCACTTAAAAAGTCGGGAGGAAGCAGTCGACGCATGGGCGCACTTACAATCACATATCTATTGGTCGCGCTTGTGTGGGCGATTCTAACAAACTTGCTGGGCATTTTCAAAAGCACTCGATGTTGGGTCATTACCGGCGGCTGCAAGGAGTAAACCCGAAACTCTTTTCGTGTTGGCACTATGCAAAATGTGCGTAAATTTGTGAACGAACGCGGCCATGCAGAACATAAAGCTGCTGGAGACGATGTATACTAGCCAGCCTTTGTCGTGCAAGATAAGAAACGAACGAAAGCCAAGAGCGGGGAGTGGCAGGAAATTCGCTGGTCCGAAGATGTCTTTGTATGCATCTGGCTTAAACTGCCGAAGTGCGTGATGGCAAAGCAAGACTAACACGACCAACGCCGGCCTCGATCTTGTACTGCGTGGCTTCTATGCTGACTCACGGTGGAAAAAGAGAAGTTTTTCTATGCGAAGATCAGTGCGCAGCAACATTGCGATTGCGGATAATTTGGTTTACCAGAACTTTGTCAGTACCTGTAAAAGGTGGTGATATGGAAGCTGTCCTGTTGGTCTAGCTCCTGGTTTAGCCAGCGTTGTTGAGACTTTGACTTGTAGACGTATAAAAAGGTCTATCGAGTTGTCGTTCCGATCCGCTTTCAGTTCGTCTTGTACTATACATGCTCCACTTCGATTGTAGTAGTTTGAGCGATCTTCTAATGTTAAAGTTGTTGTAGTCAGTACCGGAGCAGATACACATTTCTGGAGTAGCTACATACGGTCGTAATCTTGTGGCATGCGCGAGTACTGGTTCATTTGTGTCAAGAGTAGGCCTCGGCAAAGTAAGGCAAGACACCCTTCGTTACCCGGTAAAATAATTACATTAAGTGGTAGGGGGTGAAGTGTAACGGGCACCAAAAAAACACCGGACAACTAGTCTGGAGCTAATTTCACCGACAGCAGCGTGAACGGTGCCTCGCTACTTCTGTAAACTACGCAGAGGAAAGGAAAACAACGAGGAAACTGATTAGTTGCTGGTAAATGTAAAATTGTATTGAATATAACAAAGTTCTAATCATTAACCTATTTAGTAATCCTAACCTTGATCATTTTATCTTTTGAAGTCGCTTGAGGAAGAGATTAGAGCTGCAGCGCAAGAGGAATTCAGCGTGGGATAAGCTCATACTAGTTTGACCCCTTATCGTTCTTCGAGACGAGCAGAATCGGGAGGTCCAGAACCAATGGACCTCTGCAGTGTTGAGAGCGATAGACCTGTCTCTCTACACAGTAAGAAATCGCAAAAGTACAATCGCTGTCAGAAGTTAGGACACAACGCCTACGAGTGTAGTGCTTTACGCCCAGCGTCCCGAAACACTGAGCAAAGTGATCGACCGTCTTCGAAGAAGGGCAACGGATGCGAGTCCGACGCTGTTGCGAAGTCCCAACAGTGTGGCGGACCGTCAAGAAGCGGTCAGGTTCAGTAGGTGCGGAGCTCCCCTACTGATACAGCCACCTCAATAGTTTTGAAAATGCACTGATGAAATTTGCTCCAGACTCGTAATCCTTGTGTGGATCTGCACTTGGTGATGAGGTACCCCTCATCACCTTTAACTTAGAAGTGGCAATAGAATTGTCACTTCGTGCCCTAGTCGACTGTAAGGCGTTGAACAACTTTGCTCGTCGCTAGTCTCTAAAGGATCGTAGGATCGAATTCGTTGAGCGCGATATTCCTCCTACTTGAATGACGGTGCGCCTTGCAGCAGGCATCAATAGCAGTTATGAAACATGTAGTGGTATTTTACTGCACGTTAGAAGATTCGTAGTAAAGTGATGACTTTATCGTACTTGATTTGGATGAAAAATTTGATGTCATCCTAGGGTAACCCTGGCTCAGAAGGTACGAGTCAAGGGTCATCTGCCAGAATCAACCCGGAAAGATGCCTGCCATTTGTTCATCAGATGGACATCTGATGAGCGTCTTGGGCGTCCACAAGCATGTGGGTGTACTGCGAGTGACTGCGATGGCCTCCCTTGCGGTACGATCGTTAGTACGACTGCACAGGATCACATTGTGACAACCAATCAAATTGTGACAACCAATCACACTGTGGAGGAATCTACCGGTGGCTGTGCGTATGCTCGAGTAGCGCCGAAGATCCACCACTCGAAGAAGTCGAGTGGATCGGGACATGGGTGTATGTCTAGCGGGCGACGTTCAAGCAAGAATAAACCAGTTGCCAACACAGGGCAACACGATGATCCAAGATCGACTAAAGAATCGATCGTAGAGGACCTATATGTGGTAGCGTAACCACTGCTGGAAGACGTCGAGGGATAACTCCCCACGTACTTGAAGAAGAAATTCTTCAAGCAGTTATTGGTGAGGTAACGAGGCCTCATCATCTTGAGGGAATAAGTCCCCAGAAGTCTGTGGAAAAGGTTTCTCAGGAAGAAACCGAGACATTGAATGTCTTGGTTGATGACGGATCAAGTGCAGGCGGTTATCCACTTGACCTGATCACGCCTCCGAAGTTGACTTCGGAGATCACTCATCTTTCAATGCCAGAACCAAAATAGTTCTTGAGAGATCTGCGTTGTGACAAGGTCAAGTAGATTTGTGTACTCATCACGGAGGTCGAGTACGTGACCGACATTCGGTCGGCAGTAGTGTTTGCCGAAAACAAACGGGATCTCAGCAGCTCATCGATGGGAGAAAGTTCCCTCTATGAGAAGACTCGGATCTAGCGATACATGTCTCAATCTTAAGAGTCGCTTCAGTCAAATCATTTTTTAAAGAATTTGATCGAACTCAAGGACGTGATCCCTGAATCCGTACCGTACGAATTGACTAAGGATAATGGCACTTGAAATGAAATCGAGCACAAACTGGGCTCAAAGTACTGTGTCATAAAGCAGTGGCTACTACCTCGTGAGCAAGTACTTGCGGTCGACAAGTTATTTGCAGATCGCTTCGCTGTGAGTCATGTGAGGTGATCAACTTCCCCTCACAGCTCTCTAACCTTCTGTATGTGCAAGGTAACAGCAGAACCGCGGATAGTGCACACATTCAACAAGTTGAATGCTGCAACGGTACCGACTCAGGCGTCGATACCGAGGAAGGACGCAATCATTCATGGTATGTCAACGAGAACCATATTTTTCGTCCATGGATCTGATGGATAGATACTATCAGGAATCTAATGCGTGAACAGGACATCTCGAACACGCCAGTAAGAACCCTAGCGGTATCTTCTGGGGTGGCTAGTAATGCCGCAAGGGCTTAGCAACACCCCTTCTACATTCAACAGATGTATTACAAATCTTGTGAGACCGGTTCAAGACTTTGCATCGAGTTACTTCGACGATGTATTCGTCCATTGCTGGGCTATGGGTGGAAAACAGACGTAGATGTTCATAAAAACACACGCTCGTCAGGTTTTACACTTATTCGCAAGCACAATCTTTATGCCAACTTCAAGAAGTGTAGATTCGCTGCCAGCGAAATACCGCTTCTCAGGTGAATCGTGAATAAACACGGCGTACGCCCTGATTCAGAAAAAAGTGAGACGATTACCGACTGGCCTGTGCCAGTTGACGCTAAGGGACTTATAAAGTTCCTTAGTCTAGCAGAGTACTTACACATGTACTCGCGCAACTACACCGATATGACCGTTCAATTCTATCCTCTTTTGAAAAGCGCCAGAAGTGCTCAAGGAAAGCTGATTGTCAGCGTTCCTTTGAAGTTGTCTAGAAGAGCTTGTCGTTTTACACGGGCACAACCATGTGGTTCGATTGACTCATTAGCCGCAGCAAGGTATACCATCTCGCTGAATCGGTCTTTGAGCACAAGAATACCACTATTCTTGTGAACGGCTTCAATTTTCCCAAAGACGCAGTCCATTGAGACGGACTGTCAGCACTCTGCCGGGATTGGTAGATGCTGTAGTGCACGGGATGAAGGACTAGACTTCATCCTTAGGCACACTTCACAAGCACGGATGTACTTTTACACAGATACTGGCGGAATTAGTTAAAGTTGCAACTTCCTTGAGATAAGTCTCTTCACGCCAACGTGCATCATGGCACTCATACAAGATGCACAAGCGCAAATCATTATGAGTAGGGGCGAAGACACAAGGTGTGTCGTCAGCAACGGCTGTATAATACAGCAACCCGTTGTGTGTTGTGTATCGATCCGAGGAAGATCGATACCAGACCGGTAAAACTTGGAGTTATTTACAAATTGGAGTCACCAGATGATACATCAATCGCAGAAGAGCCTCATCTGCTGCGTAGGCCTTCTTTACATCGTTAGCAAGTGTTGGCAGCGGAACAATAGTGACTATTGTTGCAACAGTGACATTAACTACATGGTGGAATACGCAGCCGACTCGAAATCGGGTCAGCACGACAGCGCTTCCGCGACGACATTAAGTCGTACGGATTTGTACTCCACGGAGAATTTGTACTCCGCAAAGAAGGACAGTCACCTCTTCATCCTTTGCGAGAAGTGTGGGCTGTTTACGGCCGTATGTAATGACGCATGATCCGTGCAGACTACAAAAGGCCTATCTCCAGCAGATAGAGGCGAAACGTCGCCAGTGAATACTTCATGACCAGGAGTTCCTTGTCATGCACTGAGTAATTACGCTCATCTGCTTGCAGCTGACGCTACTGATAGCAAATGACGATCTCTGCGCCGTCACCTTCAAACTACATCAACACGAGGAGGATAGCAAAATCGATGGTTTCACAGACCACAAAGCATTGTATGTCCTGATCTTCAAGTACCAAGATTTGCGATCATATCTAGCTCTTCTTGACACCTTCAAAGGAACGCTGACAATCAGCTTTCCTTGAGCACTTCTGGCGCTTTTCAAAAGAGGATAGAATTGAACGGTCATATCGGTGTAGTTGCGCGAGTACTTGTGTAAGTACTCTGCTAGACTAAGGAACTTTATAAGTCCCTTAGCGTCAACTGGCACAGGCCAGTCGGTAATCGTCTCACTTTTTTCTGAATCAGGGCGTACGCCGTGTTTATTCACGATTCACCTGAGAAGCGGTATTTCGCTGGCAGCGAATCTACACTTCTTGAAGTTGGCATAAAGATTGTGCTTGCGAATAAGTGTAAAACCTGACGAGCGTGTGTTTTTATG